GGTAGCTAGGAAATGGAATTTGGAACAAGAGTTAACAGCATTGATTTCAGCCTTCTCAATGTTTGATTGGAGAAACTTTCTGTTTATCCAGTACTGTATGTCAGATAAGCAGTTTGATAATTTAGCTACAGTGAAGGAGTCGAAAGAGAAGGTGGTGTGGCAGGTGAAAGTGAATGCTGAGAACCATGAAATGTTGATGTGATCGCTGATAAATCTTCAACTATTGTGATATGATACTTACCTTAGCTCCCGTAACAAAGGAATGAGACGCGGATCACGTGGCACTCAGGAGTTCAATGAAACTTTTACTTCAGCATTTATAGTATTTACATAGGTACACTTGCATGGCTGAACTGCAACTACGCAATTTGTACGTATTGTAGCACACTTCCCTCAGCATGTCATGCTGCAAGGGGACTCAGCAAGAAGGAGACTGGGACCTTAACACCATTAAATTACCTGCCCTGATGTGGTGATGATATCATGTTCATGTCCCTAAAAGGCATATTATAATGCGACAAGTGATACATTGTGTTAGAAAGAGGTAATATAAAAGTAATGTGTACAGTTCTGAGGTGTGTAATTTATGTGTGCAAAAATATTTGATGAAAGTGGCAAGGCAGGTTGCGAAACCAATAGATTCCGGGGCTATATAAGTGCCTAGAGATTAGTCATTACAATTATAGCAAACCTTCTATTTTACTGTACTCCAATCCCCTTTCAATAAAGGATCATGGGAGATACCACTAGCAGAACAGCGCTAAGCCTCCCTAGCATTTCTCACACTAACACAGCTACTACTATTAAAGTAAGTGACTGAAAGTATTGATATTGCAGTTAGCTTCTGAATTTGTAAAATGATTTTTCGGCAAATGCATTCTTGTTTCATGTACAAAACGTGGATTTGTTGGCATTACCCCATTCCTGAAATAAATGGGTTTGGTTGCTGTCGATTTTGTAATTGTGTCCCAAAGTCCAAACTAACTGAAGACTCAGGACTAACAAATAGATTCATTGAACAGAACGCGGGGAAAAACAGCATGATGTAAATAACCCTGGCCTCGACTTCTGTAATGAAATTCTTTAAATCCACGTTTCTCTGTGGTATTTTCACATCACAGTGACAAATATTTCAATTTGCTTAGCTTTAATGTTGAATATTCTGTGGTGTTGAACCCTGTCTATTGTCAGTTACAGTCTTAATTTAGGCCCAGAACTTATTCCTCTGCGTGTCCCATAGCACCTACAGTCTCAGCAGGGTTGAGGTCAGCTGAAGCATAGACAGATAGGAGCAGGCGTAGGCTATTCCACCCACCAAGGCTGCTCTCCCATTCAAAATAAATCATGGCTGATCCACAATCTCAACCCCAAACTCCCATTCTTTCCCCATACCTCTTGACACCGTCAGCTTCTAGAAAGCTGTTTCTTTCTTAAATATACTCAGTGACATGGCCTCCTGCAGTACAGGATTCACAGGATCATCACCCCCTGAGCAAAGAAATTTCCTCTCTTCTCAGTCCAAAATGGCCTACTGATTAACAAAGATGCCCACTGAAACTTAGTTAGGTGCACAAGGCTGAGCATATGATAATGTGATCTCATTTGAGTGCATTGCATGTGTACCAGGGGCTAAATGAATGGACCCAGTGGAGCAAAGACATTCTAGTCATTATCTATTGATACGCATGTATTTGCTCTACTTTGGATATGATTTCATGGTTGATTGATGAAGACAGTCAATTGGAATTGGGCGTAGGCAGGAACGGGGAGTGGAGGCCAAAATAATCAGCCATGATCTGTGTAGGAAGGATATTATTAAACTGGAGCGTTTGAGTTATAAAAACAGACTGGAAAGACTGGGACTTGTTTCATTGGAGTGTACGAGGTTGAGAGGTGACCTTTATTGAGGTTTATAAAATCATGAGGGGAATAACCAAAGTGTTTTCCTTAGGTGAGAGGAGAAAGATTTAAAAAAGAGATGAGAGGCAACTTTTTTATGTAGAGAATGCTTTGTGTGTGGAATGATCCAGAGAAATCCAGGTGCGGGTACAGTTACAACATTTAAAAGACATTGAAATAAGTACATGAATAGGAAAGGTTTAGAGAGATATGGGCCAAGTGCAGGCAGGTGAGACTAGTTTAGCTTGGGAACATGTTTGACATGGGCAGGTTCGAGCAAAGGGTCTGTTTCCATGCTCTATAACTCCATGATCTTATTAAATGGCTCATCAATCTCGGAGGGCCTGAATGGATACTCCTGCTCCTGATCTTGTGAGTATGTTGTGTTTGTTGTCAAGTTGGATGTGGGTGACTATGTTTCATCTTTCTTCGTTTCAATTTATGTGAGTTTAGCACCACATTCCCTTCTTAAAGCTAATTCTTACCATGTTTTCCCTGAGCTTGGATCCTGACTGTAGGGTGAGCTCACATCAACATCTGATTTTCTTTTAAAACTGTCTAAACACCTAGCGTTTGATTTTTCCACTGGAACGCTCCCAAAAGTGAACAAGAAAATGTTCTGTAGTGAAAAGACTCTGGACAATAATGTGCTGTTTAAATTCATCTGTCATAAAGGGGGGAACAGATGTGTTGGCGAGTTTCCAGGAGCAGCCTTTGCTGGGGCTGGGTTCAGTGGTGATGTTTCCTTGTTCATTGTTGATTGGTAGGATTCAGCATTCACTGTGTGAGGTGACCATTGATTCATGTCACAGTCCATGGTCATAGTTAACCATTGGTTGGAGGCCACTGTCCGCTTTAATAGTTAGCTCTGCAACTAAAATGATTTTTAATTCTTTCATGCAACGTGGGCATCACTGGTGAGGCACACATTTCATGCCCATCCTAAAGTGCTGGTGAACTGAGTGGTTTGCTGGGCCACAGCAGAGGGCAGTGAAGATGTATGTCACCCAGACCAGGTAAGGATGGCAGATTTCCTTTCCTGAAAGACATGGGTGACCCAGCTAGGTTTATGCAATGACAATTTCATTACTAAAGCTAGTTTTCAATTCTAGATTTTATTATTTTGATACAGGATTCGAATCTACGTTTATAGAGTCATAGGATCCCTGCAGTGTGGAAGCAGGCCATTCGGCCCATCGAGTCCACAATGACCCTCCGAAGAGCATCCCACTCAGACCCACTCCTCTTCCCTATCCTATCCCTGCAACCCTGTATTTCTCATGGCCAATCCACCCAACCTGTAAATTTTTGGCTGGAGGCAGGAAACCAGATCACACAAAGGAAACCCACACAGACACAGGGAGACTGTGTAAACTCCACACAGACAGTCACCCGAGGGTGGAATCGAACCCGCATCCCTGGCGCTGTGAGGCAACAGTGCTAACCACTGAGCCACCATGCCACCCTCAGAGCATTAGTTGGGCCATTGGATTATTCGTCCAGTGACACTATCACTTTTCAATTTTCTTGCAAATCCTGCACCCCTTTGTACTTGCTGTATGTCCCCTTTTAACAACTGCTCACAGTTGGTAGTGCCACTTCAAAACATTGACTGATTATTATTTTTCTTTCACTCCCAACTTCAAATGGGTCTTTTGAGAGCTCTTAAATTCTCCCGCTCCTTTACTGCAGATGAGAGCATGGTCAGTAAAGGTTAACAGACGGTTTGAGAGAGCCACATTGACTGGTGGATTAAGTAATAGAAACATGGAGATTGGCATCGACATAATGTGGGAGAGGCCAGGTGGAAAGCTCCTCACAGCAGCAAAATTGACCAGTCATCACTTATATTTGCACTTTCTTTCCTTTAGAAAGGAAAGTGCTGTGGGATGTTCGATGTGGGCCCCACATTTTGAATTGTGTGAGGACTGTCCTCACTCAGGAAGCGATGGATAACTGTTTAACCTGCTGAGCTCCACAGTTTAATGCAGCTGATAGATTGCTGATGTTTGACAGATAGTTCAGCTTCCCTGTGTGACTAGAGGCATTTGTGAATTGTTTTAAAGTGCAAGTCTGGACTGAAAGAGTGAATATTTACACAAAACCTTCTGTACAGTCCTTGTTGGACAGTTTTCTGTTGTGTGGTGATTCAGCTTTCAGTTCCTTTTCATTTCTCCAACACCTTTTCATATCTTTCCCCTCTCTCTGAAAGTTGCAGCACTGTTTTTGCAGGACCACCCCTCTAATGTTTACACTCACTCACCCCAAACACTTACACTCACATTAAAGATTGCTGGTAAATAGCATTGCACTGTTAAGAGCAGAAACCTCAATGCATTTGTCAATTAATCTTTCCCTAATTTGGGGTCACTTGCAACCACCGTCCTTGCTGGCCAACGTCTGGAATTCAGTTCCGCGTGAAAGTATATAGTCATGTAAAACTTGACCCTGTGACCTTTGGCCGAAAAAAATGTACTGGTCTCATGTATCTTACCTAAAAGCTGATTCTGGTTGAAATAACTGCACAGAAGCCTGTATCCCATCACCAAGTTACCCTTTATCTACATGTACACAGTACATGGGCTCTGACCAGCCAACTCAATGCCAGCCCTGAAACTGAGGACACCTTCTGACCCTCCTCTTTATATCTGTCAGCCAGGGCTCCCTGATTTGGCCCAGGTTAACAACCCCCATTAAGGATCCCATAGTAAATGAGATCCACCTGGCCATGGTTCCAGTCTCTACTGTAGCCTTTCAAGGATCAAGCGTCAAAAATCTCAGAACCCAAGCTATGATTTCTACAATCCCATCAAACACCTCAATTCATTATTCATTAGAAATGGTAGCAGACTGCAGCCTCTCAGTGGTAAGTGTCTCCATAGGCCTAAGTGTAGCAGGGCTACCTGACCGCTGAGATCAGAAACTGTCCCAAGATGCCTGCGTGTCCTTTTGGAAGATGTTACTTGGATTGGGCTTGGGCCATGAAGAATGTCAGGAGCATTGGGCTATTCTGTTCTTGAACTGTGCTGTTCCTCACCACCACCACCACCAGGTCCATTTGCAGGCACTAATCCACATGTCTTGTTTCATTCCTTTTGCAGTGTGAAGCCATTCGCCCAACCATCATACCCCATTCAGCCAGCAGTACCACCGTCTATCGCAAGTGAGTACACCACAGGCCGTGAGCGTTAGAGTGCAGAGCTTGGAAGCCGGCTTTGTCCCAGCAAGTGGGTTCGGAAGATTTCGTCCATGTTCCTTGTGTGCACAATCTTCTGAAATGTTCTGTGTCTTACTCGCCCTGTACTCTCAATCTATTGGTCCAGAAATTTTGGAATGGGTGAGGACTAGTGCAGAATACAAATCTGGGATGAATTTAATCCATTTGGTTGCACTCTGACCTATTGAATAAATGTCACTGGGTTGGAATGCAAAGGGAGAAGAAATTATATTAAAGCTCGATGCGACTTCAGCTAGAGAATAGATTACTGCAGAGTTCAGAAAAGATTTACAACGATCTTGTTGGGACTGGAGAGTTTGGGCTATAGGGAGAGGCTGAATTGGCTGGGGCTATTTTCCTCTTGAGCATCGGAGGCTGAGGGATGACCTTATAGATGTTTGTAAAATCATGAGGGGCAGGGATAGGGTGAATAGCCAGGGTCTTTTTCCTGGGTTGGGGGAGTCCAAAACTCGAAGCCATAGGTTTAAGGTGAGAGGGGAAAGATTTAAAAAGGACCTAAGGGGCAACTTATTGGTACAAAGGGTGGTGTGTGTATGGAATAGGCTGCCAGAGGAGATGGTGGATTCTGGTACAGTTACAACATTTAAAAGGCATCTGGATGGGTATATGAATAGGAAGGGTTTAGAGGGACATGGGCTAAATGCTGGCAAGCGGGACTAGATTGATTTAGGATATCTGATCGGCATGGATGAGTTGGACCGAGGGGTCTGTTTCCGTGCTGTATATCTCTATCACCGTATGACTCTTGAGGTTGGTTGGGCTCGCCGAGCTGGTTTGTTGTTCCGCAGACGTTTCGTTACCGTGCTTGGTAACATCCTCAGTGCAGCCTCTGATGAAGCGTCGGTGTGTTTTCCCGCCTGGTTTTTAAACTCTGGGGTCAGTTGCAATGGATTGCCTCACTTCCGGGTTTCCTCCGTAGTGGAATGTATATGGGGTTGACCAACTGGCTACAAAAAGACACGACCAATACTCACCCATCTCAATCCACATGGACAAGGAGAGCCATGACTTCGACTGGGACAATACCAAGATCCTGGGACAGGCTAGGCAGAGACAAGCACGAGAATTCCGGAAGCATGGCACTCCACGAAGCAGGCTATTAATAAACACATTGAAATCGACCCCATATACATTCCACTACGGAGGAAACCCGGAAGTGAGGCAATCCATCTTAACGGACCCCAGAGTTTAAAAACCAGGCGGGAAAACACACCGACGCTTCATCAGAGGCTGTGCTAAGGATGTTACCCAGCACGGTAACGAAACGTCTGCGGAACAACAAACCAGCTCGGCGAGCCTACCAACCTCAACACCCACAACCCAAGCTACAGATCTCCTCCAAAACCTTAGACCCTATGACTCTATTGAGATCTGGGCGCTGCATCTCAGGAAGGATATGTTGGTATGACAGACCTGAGGTGAGGTTCCCCAGACCATGAGGGTTTCAGACGAGAAACCCCACATTGTCAGGCTCCCAGCTGAGGGGGGATCAACTGTCTCTCCTTCTTCAGTCACCCAGCCCTTCAGTTGGTCACCAGGTTGCTTTGTAAAGGATCTTCCCCCTTGTGGCTGCCATTGTCCTGGACCATAAGTATTTATCTTTTCAAAAGAGCCAACCTAAACAGGCTTTCTTGAATGTCAAAAAAAGAGTGAGTATATTTGCAAGAGGAAATAATAATGCAAGACACAAGCACATAGATTAGGAATGAGAAGGAATGAGAAATGAGTCCAAGGACAGATAAAAGTCAGAAGGCTTTGGTGAAGAGCGTGTTGTTGCTTTTGAGATTTTGATTTTGCAGATTGTTTGAAGTCCTTTGTCCTAGTTCCATTCAATATTGTTAGCATGGTAGACCTCATTGTGAGAGAGTTTACTCTCCTTTCCTTACCTGCAATACAGAGGTGTTTATTAGCAATACTCAAAGCTTTTAGCTTCATAGCACTCTAGTCCACATACTAGGGCATCAAGCCACCTAAAGTATACAGAACAGGGTCAAAGCTTGCTTTTAACCTCTCTCCCTGTATATTCTTGAAAGGGGAAAATGGAAATATGTCCTCCACACAAACTACTGTCATTTTTATTTTACCATCGTTAGTTATTTACAGGAGCTTACAGTTCAGTTTCTGCCCTTGAAGTTCTGTGACACCCGTTGATGTAGTATTCCCGAATTCCTCTCCAGACAGCCACAGATTTACATCCACTGTCATTTTGGCTACATCAACCCTTTTCTTAACAAAACGTTGGAATTTAAATGTTTGGTATGTCTATAGGTCATGACCAGGGTTGTGACACCTTGGAAGGGATGGAATGTAGATTAACCACAGTTTTACCGCACTAACTAAGCTGGGTCAATTGTAAATTTCAAAACCAGGATTGATTGACTGTTCTCCATGAAGACAGTTATTGGCCAAGGCAGATAGATGAGGTCAAGATACAAGTCAACCATGATCTATTTGATAGTCACCAAAAGGCTGAATTTTCACAAGAAAATGCTGAATGAGACATGAATTTTTATTCATGTCTTGAACCTGCTTCCGGTGGGGAATTGATTAAATGTAAGATTTGCATGTGTTTGAGCCCACAATGGGCGTGGAGAAGGTTTCTGTGCAGAGAAGGGTGGGCTTTTCAAACAGGGGGGTCAATGAGCCTTGCACCTTCTGAGGTCTCAAAGGCAGCAGTACAAGATAAATTACACCGAGACTGCTCCAACAAGATGAAGCCACGTTTCAAAAACGCTGATAAAAAATAGAGAGAGAGAGAGCAGCCAGCTCATTCCCTAGGGTTGGGCCAGGGTGCTGGGAGCCCCCTACCTGCTGGCTTTAGGCTCTACCTTCACCCAAGCGAACACAAAGGGCAGTTTCTGTAGCCTTGGCACTCCGGCCTGCTCCCTCCCATCACGGTGGGACACAGTCAGTTTCCTAACCTTACCTTTAACAAGGCTCTTTACGGCCTCAATTGCCTGTCTATCTCAAAGGGTCAAGGTTTCCCCAGGTTCTGAGACCATGTCAGCCTAAATAGCCAGTGTCAGAAAGACTGCTGTGATACCAACCACCAGCAGGAGGCAATATCTGCTACATTCATCCCCTCAGCTTTAGTTTCCAATCTCTGGGGAACCAGAAAACACCACCCCAAGATGTTGGTATTGAGCTAACACTTCAGGGTGTCCTGGAGGTTACAGTGAGACAGTTTATCTCAAACCGCTGGCCCTGTTGTATTATCAAAGGCACTGAACAGATATACCAATTATGGACAACAAGAAAATTGTCGCACTCATACTTTGCAGTTGGGCCTTCCAAAAATGTATTTTAACTAAAAATACTCCTTCACAGGGTATGGGTGTTGCTGGCTGGGCCAGCATTTATTGCCCTTGAGAAGATGCTAGTGAGCTATGCAGTCCATGTGCTATAGGTTGAGGGAATTTCAGGATTTTGACCCAGTGAACAGCGATATATTTTCACATCAGGATGGTGTGTGCTTTGGAGGGGAACTTGCAGGGGATGGTATTCCCATGTACCTGCTGCTGTTGTCGTGCTAGACGGAAGTGGTCATGGGTTTTGGAAAGGTGTTCTCTAAGGACCCCTTGGTGCATTGCTGCTATGTATCAGATAGATGGTACACACTGTGCATTGGGTAATGGGCGGAGCGAATGTTGAAGATTTCTAAAGTTGTTTGGAACACAGGAAGAAAGGAAAGGTCTGCTCGACTTAAAGTTGATTTTCAAACCAAGTGGGGTTTAATTTCACTGTTCTGTTTCTTCAGCAGGTTATGAACCACTGGGGCCTCTCTCACCTCCTGCTACTATCCCAGTGTGGCAGGACCGAACTATCGCCTCGACTAAACTCAGATTGCTGGAGTACTCTGCTTTTGTGGAGGTGCAGAGAGACCCAGACACGGTACGCAGCTGCTTCTCAATCTCCCCAAACTCTGATTGGCTTATACCGATGGGCAGAGCTCATGTCTGGTTCCTTCAACTGGAGGGAGAAGAGCCTCACCAAAAGCACCCCCTCACCCCAGATTGTGAGAAACAGTATGTTTCTATAGCACCTTTGCTGACCCCTGGATTCCCCAAACTCCTACAGGTAACAGAGTAAACAAGGTGTAGAGCTGGGTGAACACAGCAGGCCAGGCAACATCAGAGGAGCAGGAAAGCTGACTTTTCGGGTCTGGACCCTTCTTCAGAAATGGCGGGGGGGAAGGGGACTCTGAAATAAATAGAGAGTGGGGGGAGGCGATGATGGAAGGTGGATAAAGGAGCAGATAGGTGGAGAGAAGATGGACAGGTCAAGGAGGCGGGGTTGGAGCCAGTAAAGGTGAGAGTAGGTGGGGAGTTGGGATGGGGGTTGGTCAGTCAAGGGAAGATGGACAAGTCAAGAAGGCAAGGAAGAGGCTGGTAGGTAGGAAGTGGGGGTAGGGGTTGGTCAGTGTGGTCAGAGGAGTGGATAGGTGGGAGAAAAGACTGAAGAGCCTGTTTCTGTGCCGCAATACTCTATGATTCTCTGTGATTCTCTAAAAGACAGACAGGTCAAGGAGGCGGGGACGAGCTGGGCTGGTTTTGGGATGAGGTCGGGGGGGTGAGGAGATTTTGAAGCCTGTGAAGTCCACATTGAGACCATTGGGCTACACTACCCCTCACCCACACACAGCGACACTACCCCTGATCCACACACAGAGACACTATCCCTGACCCACACATAGAGATACTACCCCTGACCCACACACAGCGATACTACCCTTGACACACACAGTGACACTACCCCTGACCCATACACAGCGACACTACCCCTGACGCACACAGTGGCACTACCCCTCACCCACACACAGCGACACTACCCCCGACACACAGTGACATCACCCCTGACCCACACACAGCGACACTATCCCTGACCCACGCACAGCAACTCTCTCTACACACACACACACACACACACACACACACACACACACACACACACACA